TGTTAGCTTAGCTCGTAGCTTAGCTCATAGCTTAGCTCGTAGCTTAGCTGCTTGTAACGATACAGAAATGTGATTTTGTACAGAAACAGGGAGGAGTCAGTGAAGAGCACCGGCGTTGATCCGTGTTTTCAGTAGAAGGAGAGACAAGAAGAAACGATAAAGCCGATAAATGAAAATGAGGTCGATAATTTTCATTTATTATGCAATTAATTGAGTTATTGTTTATCGCGACAGGCCTAATTTCATTTATCCATCTTGTATGAAAGTGTGCCATCAACACAGCATCATATTTAAATAGATTGTCATTTACAACAACGGCTGATGTTGTGTATGTTAATCTTGCTGTTTTGAAGGGCCAGGTGAGTGACTGTGTTTAAGAGCGGCTCTGTAAAGTAACGGTTATTACCTTATCTGCTGTGTTGTGTACCGCGGAGCACAGAGGACGAAGAAAAGAGCAGAAGTCTTCCTACAGGCTGGAATAATGGCTAACCAAACAAGAGTGAGTTTTATACAGATTTTAAGGTTCATGAAACAACCTCCGTACTCAAAAAGGTCTTACTGAGCTCAAGTATGGTGCTGGTGCATTTACATTCTCGTTTAAATTGATCTAGTGGTTTTTTAATCTGTGACCCTATGTTTTAAATGCTTTTTATTAATTCTTCAGTTATTATTATTATTAGTGTTTGTTTTTCTCTCTTTAATTTTACTCTCAATGATTGTTGTTGTTGTTGTTGTTGTTGTTGTTGTTGTTGTTGTTGTTGTTGAGCACTTTGATAGCAGGTTCTGTTTTAATGTGCTCTATAAATAAAGTTTACTTGACTTGGTGTAGAGGTTTAATTTGAGCTAATGCACCATTCTTCCACATCAAGAGGACGTTTTGGAGAAAAATATGTTTATTGGCCTGAAAAACGTGGAGGAAGACTTCTGCCCTTTTCTCCGTTCTCCGTGCTCTGACTGACGTCACAGATGACTGACAGCTGTCTGACAGAACACCACTTGAAAAATGGTCAAATTGTCCCTTTAGGGCATTGGATGACAGGTGAAAAGAACAAACTTTGGTGCCAAGTGACACAACAATATATAACATGACAGAAAAATAAAAGATTGAGAAAACAATTATACTTAAACCAGACACAAATTCTTGATTTTAAGTGATTTCATGGGACCAGGTTTTATGGTTTGAGTTTCTCAAAGCTGTAAATAGCAGTTAATTATTTAATTCAATGGAAAGTTAAGGGAAAGATTATTTTATCACTAAACACCAGGAGTCAAGTTAAGTTTTAAAACAATATTACAGCAACAACTTCCAATAAAGATACTGATTTTAGTCTGTATGTGCACCCTTGACTTTATTTCACAGTACTTTGTCTGAAAGCAGATAACAGAGTAATAAGAAATGGAAATAATAACAATAAAAAAACATCATTTTGTGCTCTTGTTTGTTCTGATGCACTCAAACAACAACTGTTGATCCCTCTAAACGGTTTCCCAACACTTAAAAGTCTAATTAGATACAGAAGTGCTACAATATGCAGTATAAAAACATGGTTCTAAAACGCTAAATAAACTAGAACCCTGATAGCTCCCAGAAGATATTTGTAATGCCTTTACAAAAAAAGAGCAAATGGATGACGAACAACATTTTCAACAGGTAAAACAAAACTTTACAGTTTTATCTAAATCCCCAAAAATTTAAGGCGGTTGAATACTGAGCCACAAAACCCAGTGAACACTTAACAAGGTGCTTACATAAAGCATTCTCATCAGGCTCATCAATGTTTCATCTCACATTACAATAAAAGAACGCTGTCACGACACGGTTACATAAGATGAAATAATATTATGACATTTAAAAATTGAATACATCGGTTGTACTTTCAACATATGAAATTAAATTGTCACCAGATAAATTCTCAGGCTCGTATTTGATTTTAGACTCGTACTAAACACATTTTTCTGCCGTGCTCTAATGGTTTTACTTGTGAAGGCTCAAAAATTCAATCTATCACAAAAAGTGGAGTTTAACGCAACTCAGTGGTACTTCTTCAGCAGCGGAGGTGGGATGGGAGATCACATGGATTTTCTTTGACAAAAATTATGAAAATAAATGTGGAACCAATACTTCCTCCTCCTACTAAATGAAAAATAAAAAAATAGATATTAGAGACACAGTCTGGTCCCGACCAAAACAAACATCTGGAAAAGATGAACTAGTTCTTTTTTACATACAGAGCAATAAAATAACCCATTTTGTTGTTTGAGCAAATACATTTAAAACAGGAAGGACACAGTGTTTCTGTTGCCTCACAGTGGGAAGGTCTCTGGTTCAAATCTGAGCGGTGCAGCTTTTACTGTAAGAGTTTTCTCTGTTTACTCCCATCTCCTGTTCCAGTCATTCCAATGTCACGAGTGGAACTTGACTGGACTAACTGTGTGAAAACTAAAAGAACAGAATGGAAAAATGATGCTGGACGAGTGGAACGGTTAGTAAATCAGGTAAAGTAGAAGGAGGTTTGAGGAAGTTCTTCTGTCGGAGCACGATCCATCACATTAAGGCGTCAGCTGCACCGCTCCAGGTATTTACTCGTTCTTCCATTTCATTCAAAAATCACATTTGTTCAGAAGAGAAGCACATGTTCCAACAAAAATCATGACATCTCCAGTGGGTGCACATGATGACAGCATCTCAAATCACAAAAGAAAAACGTTTTTAACAAAACTCCCCGAATAGTTTTGACTTTATATTTCCACTTTGGGTATTAAGACTAATAGTAAACATCGCCGATCGTTTAGTTTCCATTTAAGAGTGATTGTAGAATCCTTCAAAGATGTAGAAAACACAAAGTTAACTCATTATTGTGGTTGTGGTTTCTTGTGCACAAAGAAATTAAAGGCACACACACACACGCGCACACACACACACACACACACCCGCAGTGGTTTCTTTGTTTCTGAAAGGTCCACACTAATAAATCCAAAAGAGCACGTTCAACATGTCTCCTCCCTTCCTTTTTTCTAAAAGTTGTCTTTCTCCCATGAACGCTGCGTGCGCTGAGCTGAGAGGTGCAAACACAGCACACAAAGTTTGCTTTGCCACAAATTCACACAAGAGCAAAAATAATTAAAAACCCTCAAGAAGATGTGAAAAGATGTAATGTGGGAATAATGTTTACCACTTGGACAAAACACACACGTGTTATACTGAAATAATGAAATGTTTTCTGCATGGGTTTCTATGATGTACTGTTTAAATGTTTTTATGGTATAATCTGTGTATAATCTGTGGTGTAATCTGCTCTGTAATGGGTCCACATGAATGAACTGACACCAGATTTTATCTTCAAGTAAATAGTTACAAAATCACAAATGGATAAAAGTGCACATTATCTTTGATTTTTTTTCTTCTAATTATTCTTTTACTAAATAATATTTAATCATCAAAAATCATATTTTGCAGCTATGACCAACACAAAAGATTAAATTAAAACTTAAAATAAAAATCACTTCTTACAATATCAAAACTTTTCAACAAAATACTTTTCAACGTGACGAAAGTTAATCTGAGCCACAAATTAGACAAATATCACTTTTTTAGAATTATGTGATGAATCATTATGAGCCTGATCTGAATAAAATATATAAACATCTTACAAATAAAAGACTTTACTGTGTATCTTATTTTTACTCATAAAAAGAGGAAAAAAAAGAATTATTATTTACAACTTCACAGCCAGTAAGTCAGAGGATTCAGTTTCACATTCTCAAATTTGACTCTAAAGTCTCGATGTTGGTCTTGGACTTGGCTTTCTTAATATCCAAAAAGCTTCGGCAGATAAAACTCACATTAAACCTCTGAGCAAGCAGCAAGCCCATCTGAATAACAAACTACGTTCCTCCGATTGTTCGATCACATTTAATGTAATATAGCACATTGGAAGAAATATTGAAGCAACAGAAAAGCAGAACCAACGTCATTAATAGCGTTAAAGAAAATGTTATTGAAAATGTACAGAAACAGCTGCCTTGGACAGATTTGATATTTGTTACATTCATCTATCGGGGCTCGTTCCGTGACTTAAACAAAAGGAGAAGCAGTGCAGCTGCCTTCCCAATATAAAGGGGATTTATATCCAGCTTTTATTCAATACGGTATCTTGTTTGTGAACAGTTTTCCAATTTTCTCTTTTGAGGGATTAGCTAATAAAATTATCAATAAAAAATATTTGTACTTACATGTAAATGTTCATATAATCTCTAAACCATGCAGGATTATTGTAAACATTTCAGCTGTTTCTACTTTGGTACTAAAAATGCAAATAGTATTTTACGAACCCGACAACAAAATCCATCGCCACAGCATGATCTACTCTGCAATTTAGCTTAAAGAAATTATGTCAGGACCCATCTATTGAATAACACAGTGCAATAAAATAAAACGGAATCCATCTGAGTTGTGTAAAAGTAAAATATAAAAAGAATAAAAAACTAACTGGTGGCATGAAAGTCAAAAGTTGGGACAGCTTTAAAGAAGGACTTGCTCTTCTTCAGTGACCAAGATAATCTCAGTGAACAGTAGTCCAGCTGATAAACCTCATTCCTCCACTAATATTTCAACATTTACACAGCAAACATTGCAAATATAGAAACCCATATCTGTACACAGTTTTCAATTAAATATACGCAAGAAGGGAGAAAAAATATTCTATTTGTATGGTTCCAGATAGTTCTTCAAAAATATTGAGTTTCAAATTACACAACAGCAAATCCACTGTCACAGGACTTGGCCATGCGATACCCAAAAACCTAATATCCATTGTAACATATATCTATATATATATTTATAGAATTAATTTGCAATACATTTTTTCCAGATGGATGTTTTACATAATATGACAAATTTAAAGAATCTCCATCCCATTTTCTTCATAGTCAACAAAGATTGTAATACACATGAGTGAGGAGTCGATTATAATATTGAAGTATTCAATGATGCTGTTGTAATACAAGGTTCTTGTGTAATTTCTGCGGCTCAGTTTAAAAACACCTAGATGAGTTATGACTTTTGTTGGGATGAAACGCCTTTCCAGTAGTCTAAAATATCATGCAGGTCCTCGTCCTTTGCAAACTGAACTTTCTTACGCAGGGCGTGCCCCGCAGCCATGTACTCGTCATCTTTATGCCTTTTCCGGTGGAGTTTGAGTCGCTCCCAGATGCTGTGTGAAGGTTTGCAGTAGTATTCGGGACTAGAGGAGTAACTTAGATTGTGATATTGTGAGGACATTTGGGAATACGCTAAGTCTCTGGAGCGGGAGTGAGTGAGAGGCTCCAACAACTTGTGACTGTCTGGTCCTTCTAGCTCCTCTATTTGAGCATCAGGGTATGAGTGCCGATGGTCACTGTACTGACGGACCTTCTCTGCCTCAGCCCTCAGGATGGCGGCAGCAGGTGTGACGGTGATGATGTTCTCACCAGTAGGGGAGTTTTTTTCTATATACTTGGATTCAGAGCGGTAAGGCCTGGGGCTTCTCATGGGCCCTCCTGTGGCTGTGCTGGGTCTCTTTGGCGAGACATCTGAGCTCCTATGCCTCTGCAGAGAGTGATGGTAGCTGTCCTTATACACTGGAGATAGAAGGTTGGATTTACCCTGGGGGTGCTCTGATATTAGTACAAGCTGGGGCTCTGCGGTGGAAACGGCTCCAGACTTAACCCCTTGAAAAGAGGTGGATTCTGACTTAAGAGCATCTATGCAGTTGTTAATGATCTGGTTCACTTTATCAACTTCTTTTGCGATTGTGGAAATCTCTGCCACTGACCCTTGACTGTTTCCTGCCATTCCCATTTCACATTCCCTGCGCTCATGATGGTCCATACTTCGCACATCCATGTAACTTCCCTTAATCATTTTGGGAGTATTGCTTATCTCCTGAAACTTGTACTGCTCCATTTCACTTGCAGATGGTAGGTACGGCATACGTGCCATGCTCTCTCCAGCCAACAATTGCTTTTGTGACATTTGAGAAATAGTTCCCCCCTCTAGTTCTTGTCCGTACTTTAGTTCCATGATGTTTTTCTTTAGATTGCCCGATTTCTTTTGCTTTTCATCTTGTTGACGTTTTCTTCGTAAGCAATAGTAGACGATTCCCAGAAATATTACCATGCTAAAGAGGCAACCTAAAATGGTCATAATGTAGTGAGTAGCTGTTGCATTGTTTACAACTCTTTCTTTTCCATTCCTAGGTCCAGTAGAGATTGTAAGACAAGTATGATTGTGTCTAAGAGAATTACGAATTGAAGCGACACAGTATGTGTAGTTGGTGTGGGGTTTAAGGTTTTTTAGTTCAATGTCCTCTTTTATATCTTTAAGATTTTGAATAGCTGTGAAAAAACTGTTGTTGTAAAGAACCAGAATGTACATCTTTTTATAAGGATTAGGAATATGAACAGTGATAGTGGCACCTGTGTTCGTCACATGCTTCACTTTCATTAGAGGGTTTCCTTGCACCTCGTTTTCAGTTGTACTCATGGTTATGTCCTCTGGTTCTGTGCCTGAAGGACAATCGTCCAACCCACAAAGTGTCGAGTCGGGTGGTAGTATTGTAGACTCTGTGGTCAAAGAGATGAAGGGCGTCACATAGTCATCGGTACACACAGTAGTTAGCATATGAAGTGCATTTCGATATGTTGGGTTGTTAGGATTCTGGCTCAGTAAGCTATAACCTGCAACACCACGTGGAGAGTCACACACCATCCGTTCGTTTGTCCGATTTGGGAAACTTGAGAGCCATTTCACAAATCCCAGTAACTCACATGAGCAGTTAAATGGGTTGGTGTACAGCTCACAGGTGGTGAGTTTAGTTAAACTGGTAAATGTGGACCCATCTAACTGCTGTATTCTGTTTATGGAGAGATCAATGTTTTCTATGTTGGGGCATTCCCAAAAGGCATTAGGTGTCACAGTTTCAATCAGGTTTGCCTGGAGGTAGAGGTACTGAAGCTTTCCTAGACCCCGAAGGATCCCCTCTGTCAGGTTTCGTAACTTGTTGAAACCCATTTGAAGGACTTGCAAGTTAAACTGAGCAGAAAAGGCCCCGTCCTCGATGTACGAGATTTCATTCTTGGTCAGGTTCAGGTAGGTCAAGTTGGCAAAGCGACTGAGAGAAGAATAATGAATGCTTTTGATTTTGTTCTCATTCAGACGAAGGTCCACAATGGTGTTGTTCATATGTTGTGGGATGGCCTCAAAGGGTGGTTGGTTTTGGCTGCAAATGGCAAGCCAGACAAAGCCCTTTTCCCCTTCAATTAACCAGCAGTCCCCATTAACTCTGCCAATATGAGTCAAATATACAATGGCCACAGACCAAAACATGGCACTCGCCACCATGCCTGAGCAGCAGGCCATGGGTGCTTCTCTGAGAGTCATGTGCAGAGTCGAACCAATGAAAGGAGGGTGATCCCACTGTTGACTCAGTACTTTGATACAATCTTTTTTGTGAATCAGCTGGACTCTCAACTGTTCTCAGGGCCAGAACCGATGCTTTTATATGTCTTCTCTTTATTGATGGTTGGATGATGTTGCATATTGTCCCCATGTACCTATCAGATAAATGACTGGTGTCTTCCTGTAGTTTCTTTCATTCACATTTGCATGCAGTAAACTTGTGATGTTCCAAGAGCTCTTTCATCCCTGAAGCTTGGCTTGTGCTTTCTTCTTCATACACAGTCATTGTCAAATTGTCCCATCTTCAGTTTTTTCCTTCTTGTGTGTTTCTCATGTGCCCAGATGAAAAACCTGCAAAATGGAGACAGAAAGTACAAAGTTGACATCATGTCCACATCAATAAGAAATACTGGTTTGTACTGTTGCATGTGTTTGTAGCTAATGCTCAAAGTGTGGATTTGTGTTTACTCAAGCCCTTCTTGTTTGCACTCCCCCAATTATTTAGTAGACGGTGTAAGAGGTGTGTGCAGTCCCTGTAGCAGTCTGCTATTAGAGGAAACTGTTAGCCAATTACTATTTGACAGGTGGAGAGAAGCAAGGCCCCTGTTTTCACACCATTAACCTGAAGACTGTCAAGTGAGGGGCCCATGTTAAGAAGCTGCATTAAATCACATGCACAGCACCACGCAAAGTGACAGCTTGGGTCAATGTATTTAGCATTTTGTAAAAGAGGCTTTGTGCATAATGCTTTTTATCTTTTTGAGAATTGGATTACATAAAAGATATATGCGCAAAACGTATAAAACATTTTTTAGGAAGACCTGGCGCTACTTGGAGAATAATTAACTGAACAGACACAATCGTCTAAAATTATAAACATTTAGGATGAAATTCTTTAGGTTTTGAAGTATTAATAAATAAAAAACAGGAACATAAAATATGTCCCAAACTCCCTCTTAACTTTGGCCAAAGTCTCGTGCTGGTTTTAAATGAATCTGTTTGGCTATTACTTCATATTCACCACTGGAAAGGTCCCGGGATGTCAGCAAGCAGAAAATCATTTTTCCAACACTCGTTGGCCACTAAGAGCCGCTCCAAACAGCTCCAAACCTCAGTAAAAATAGAACCATTGCTTGTCCCCAACAGAAATATAAAAAGTGTTTTATGTGGCTGCATCATGTCGTGTGGTTCTGACAACAATGAGAAGGATCTGGATCCAAGACAATTGTGCAAAACTACTCAATGAACTGTTAGAGGGAGAGGGTTTTAAAACTTAAAATGATATTCTGCTGCCACATACAGTGTCACTTCAATAATTTTTGTCATTTGGATAACAACAGTACTAATATCCTTTCAAGCAGTGTGCTGTGTGTGTTTTGAGCCCTCTCTTTGCTTGTGTAGTTCTGGGTTTGTTAAAGTGTGACGCAGCGGAGCCTCGCTTCACACATCATTTGAATAAAAGAAGGCGCTCCTTCTCCTTTCACTTAGTTTGACTGAACCCCTGCATGCCAATGGGATCATGATATTGTTGAGTTAATACAGAGCACGGGAGTCGAGATAACCGCATATTGCTTTCTGACATGTCACGTCACTTTCAGAATGTTGGAACGGGGTCTTTTTGAAATCTTTTACACTGGATTTCATGCAATAGGTTTTGGTGAACAGGAACCACTGCAGCTATAGATTACCTTTTACAGAAGTGTAATTGTTAAAAACATCGATTAATCTATGGAAATATATGCAGAAGAACTGAGTCTCCATAATTGCACAGTTAAAATGCCTGTGGCACGTTCAGATATGGCCAACACAAATGTTTATTTCAGTTCTGAGAAGAAAATTCAAAATCAGATTTGGTACATTAGTTAGTGCTCCACAGCTTGCAGGGTCAGAAGGTGTTTTTGTGTCGAGTTAGTTTGTTAGAGGACATGACTCTTCACAGTGGGATGATCAGGTGGCCAGAGGAAAGTGAACGTGACAGTTCACGGCAGAGGGAACATCCTCATGTTCAAACCAGAGTTCCCACTCAGGATTTAAGGTCCATTCTTTTTGTCATTTGACCTTTGAAGGAGTTTATCACATTACAGTTAAACACATTTTGTGGTTTTGCATGCAGTGGTTTGAGAAATAAAACCTTTTGCATATGCAAAATAGTAATTCCTAAAATGTTGATTATTTATGATCAATTTGAAATAATCTTCTAGGATTTCAGTCTTAAAATCTTTAACATTACCCCATGAGGAAACAACATACAATCATGCGGTGCTAATTTGATTTATTATTTGTTTAATTTAATAATTTTGTTTGCAACATTTTGTTTAGTGTTTTCTCATTTCCAAACTGAAATACTTTTTATAAGCAGAAAAGGTTTTGAATAGATAGTGAAGCTACATACAAGACGTTATTCATTTGAACGACAGTATTAGGCAATAAAGTGCGTAATTAATGAAAGTCCCTGTAGTCCTGTTTTTGTCACTGCTGACATTTTAATGCCACATTGTTGCATACTGGTTGGTACAATATGGGTAAAGTTATATTGTGTTTGATTCACCTCAGTTTGAGTTGGTTTACAAGACAAGTCTTTGACTCAGAGTTTGCAGGACGTCATATCACGAGAAGCTACTTTAAATATTAGTGTTTATTCACAGATTCACCAGATTCACCATTCTCCAATTTACCAAACAGGACAAATGAATGTTCAGTACATCACTCTGTCTCACTGTGTGTCATGAGCAAAATGTTTGTGATGAACTTCAAGTATGTTTAGTTTATAATTTCATCTGACATCTGATCTCAAGGTGCAAATTAGACCATTTCACATACAGTAACTGTCCTCACGCACATATATTTACACCAAACTTGTGGGAGACAGAACATTAAAATCCAGATAAAAAGCTGCTTCAGTGCATACAAACAGGTTTTATGTCCTGGTCTCCTTGCTGCAAGCAGCACTGTGAAATTATCTACAATGAGGGAAAGATAATCAAGTAAAAGCACTGGTCAGCCTTTCAAGTACAGATAAAGTGCAGGAATAAATGGTGCCGTGAATCCTGCAACGCATTGCCAAAGGCTGCCATTATAAAACCACCTTCATGATGACAAAAGAGCGGTGGCACCGGAGCACTGAAGAAAAAACACTCTCAAAGCCCCCGAGAGGAAAGAGGCTCCAAATCAAATGTTCCATGAAATGAATATGAAAAATACAGCTCTGCAGACGATCTGGCCAAGCAAAAGATCTTTAGAGAGAAAGGATGTCTTGTTGCTATTCCTCACACTATGACCTTTATTGCAAATGCCGCATGGCAGAGACTGAGCTCATCTGACCTGGCCTCCGCTCGCACACAGCACGACACGATGCGTTTAGCCGTTAAATGAAAGTTTAAGTTAAACCTGAGAAGTTCCTCACCTCCCCCTCATTTAGAATGCATTGGCTGTTTTGTTTGTCCACAGTGAGTCATTCTTAGTGAGTCACTGTCTCACCACTGAATCTGTTGCACAAATTAGGTAAGGACTGGCCCAAATACACAAGCATGCCACCTCTATGGGATCAAAACTGTAACTTTTGGGTGGCAAAACAAAGCCTTCTGTGTTAAACAATGTAAAATATTTAATTCCTCCGCTTGGGTCCCAACAAATCCACAGCAAATGCCAACAAAAACAATGCCTGCAGTCTTAAGCTGTTAAGGGATGAACACTGCAACCAGCTACATTAAAATTAATTTTCTGCGCTTCAGTTTCATGCAAATCACACCATGCTGCACAGTCAGATCACAAAATGAGCCCAAGGCAGCCAGTGTGTGTGCTGTCTTGTGAAAGCTTAGGTCTATTTGCCACCGTAGACCCACTTTCCATAATGGCAGCAATCTGTATCGTCCAGTGGTAGGCCTTAGTGCAGCAGGCCAGAGCACCCAGGGCATCAGAGCTGAGTGTGCACGGCTATCGCACACAAACAGTCATTCTGCAGATTCTTTTTCCATTTGTCTTTTATGCACTTTGCAATGAAGGCTTTCCTTTTTCTTTTGCCTTTCTGTGAAGAGCCTATTGAAACCTTGCCCCTCAAGAATGATTCAAACACAGCTTTGCACATGTCTGTTTAAATTATACTTCACATGTTCTATTTTTTATTCTGACTCCCCACCATTTGAAAAAAGTTACCCAAACCTACAAAGAATTTAAATAAAAAATAAAACCCTAATGGGGAATAAATGTCTGCAACAAGCAGCATATCAAAATAAAGACTTTGAGGTAAACTGGTGTGTCGAGTGGAAAATGGCCAACAGGCAAAACATCTTTCAGGCTTTTGAAGTGGGTGTAAAAATAGTGACAGGTCAAGATTATTTCCTGGGAAACTCTTAAGGCTGCAGAAGTGTTCTTGGCTAGTGTGACTCTTTAAACATAATAGCTGCCCTCCCTCCTATAGACCCTTGGGATGTCTGATCCACCATGAGTCATAGCTTTGAGGGAAACCTTGACAGATACCACATGGAGAAAACAGAGAGAAGTAGTCTGCCCATCCTCCCAACATAGTTTGGTGTATGCAAACAGACAGCGCTGCACCGTAACACCCTGTCTGGCTATCTCCCACTGTTCTGTGTTTTGTCAAAGTGCTTGTCCAAAAACTTCACTCTGCATACTAACAGTATTCTTCTGTTCAGTCTCCAAGTGTCTACGAAAGTGTGATATCAAAGAATCTGTTTTCACAGTTTAAGCGTTTGCTTTTTCTTGTTTCTCCTTGGGTTTCCTATCTTGTGCTTTGTGACGGTGAAGGTGCCTCAGTCTCAGAGGATCCTCCTCATCCATACCAATGACTGCCCTTTATTTGATGTCATTGTCAATTCATGCACTTCTTGCTTGGAAAAAAAATAAGTTAGAGATGGGAAATTGCAAAAGGAGAACCAATTGAGTTGAAATGGAAGGGTTTCTCTTGGGGGAGGAAAACATCGTGCTCCTGGAGTTGTTGAATTGCTTTGGAGAAAGTAAGGACAGGGTCACTTCTATATGAGAGAACACCAGAGGATGTCAAAGTCGTATATGAATTACTCTGAGAACCCAA